AAGGGTATTGGCAACAAAAAATTTTATTGCTTCATCTGAAAGAGCATGAAAAAATAGGCCGATTGGCCGTTTAATGCTCTATACTATCTCATCTACTGTAGTTCCGAAGTTATACGCAAAAATGTGCAAAATATGAGTTGCTGATTCAGCACAACGTGTGACGTCATTGGTTGGGTAAGTATGTTTAATGAATACTAAACTGAAGCATAGCTCAGTTATTAAGGGCCCAAATCGAATGAAATTTTGCATACTGATTGTACATGATGAGACGCATTGAAAAACACTTCTAATTTTGTTGCCAAGGTAACAATGTTGTTCCCAGGCCCCTTGCGCCAATTTTATAAAACAGCTTTATTCATGGTACTTATAAGAATAAAATAATATCAGAAGTATGTGTACCATACCTATGCATGCCAAAAGTTTACTTGCATGATAATAATTCGAAAATGACATACACATAGATAAATGCAACTAGTTATTCAAAATCAGTGTAAGGGGCCTGGGAACGACTGTGTTGCCTTGACAACAAAATTAGAAGTATTTTCCCATGCGTCTCATTATGTACTATCGATTCTGTATGCAAAATTTCAATTGATTTGAGCCAATAATAACTGAGCTATGCTTCAGTTTAGTATTCATTAACATACTTACCCAACCAATGACGTCACACGTTGTGCTGAATCAACAACTTATATTTTGCACATTTTTGCGTATAATAACTTCGGAACCAGATGAGATAGAATAGAGCAGTAAACGGCCAATCGGCTTATTCTTTCATGCTCTTTCAGATAAAGCAATAAAAATTTTTATTGCCAATACCCTGTAATGATACAAACCTCAGTAGTATACAAAAGAAGGGTTCTGGAGGTGCACTAAGCACCACCCATGACGTCACCATGATGTCATTTCGTATAGGTTTTTTGCAGTTATAATCTAATTAAGCAAGCGTTGACTAAATTATATACCTGCCATTTCAAGAAAATCTTCATAGTTTACTATTTGAATGAGTGTCCCGGAGTGACTATTTGTTTCTCGGAAGTCCCTTTAATGGTTTACCGTTTGTGAAATTTGCCCCTGTGGGATTTTGTTTAACCCGGAGGTCCCGAAGCGCGATACATTTCTCATCCTCACGCTTATGGCGTTATTCCAACCCTAACCCAATGCTCAGTTTTTATCTAGTAATGTAATATTTTGTAGGACTAGTAAACCAGGAATAAAAAAATTCCAGACATATATATATATGATAAATTTAAACAAACTTAACAGTTGCTAAGCACAAGTTAACATGGTTGTCAACGCCGTTGTTATGGTCGATATTTGCATATTACAAAGTCATTAAAAAGTCGTTAATCCGCCCACTCCATATGGATACAATTTTCACCCAGCGAGCTTGAGACAGAAAAAATACAAACGAACAGAGAGTTATTACATGTTAAGTGCGAGATATCTCGAAGTTTTATCTTTTGTGGATATCTAAAACGTATACCGCCAAAGTCATTAACAGTCATTAAAGGATTACGAGCTAAAATTTATTTTTTAAGTGTTTATTATGGATAGAGAGAGACTATTTATTACGCGGGCATGGACCTTAAAGTCGGGCGGCGGCGTAGCTTGGCGGGCATAAATTGGCACAAGAATTTAGTTTTAAAACATATTTATTTCTTCAAAACGTATACAAAGTTACGCTTTGAATATATATCTCACTTATTTGAGACGTTTCGCACTTTTGCTATCCGAGCGAGTCATCGTAGTCACTGCTCTCAAAAGGGAGAAAAAGCTGGTTAAGCAAATGCGAAATCTAGTCCCATTTCATTTCCTAGTAAACCACTTCTGGGATCCTGAGAATGAATCATGGAATTCTAAGATTGAATCTTTGAATCCTAAGATTGAATCTTTGAATCCTAAGGTCGAATCTTTGAATCCTAAGAGTTAATTAATCATTGAATCCTAAGATTGAATCATTGAATTCTAAGATTGAATAATCGAATCCTAAAATTGAATCATTGAATCCTAAGATTGAATAATTGAATCTTAAGATTGAATCATTGAATCCTAAGATTGAATAATTGAATCCTAAGATTTAATCATTGAATTCTAAGATTGAATAATTGGATCCTAAGATTGAATCTTTCAACTAAACGACAGAGTTTATATTACACAAAGCCCAGGTAATATCTCGGAGCCTAACTCAAAATATCGATCCTTTCAAATTCGAAATATCGAGCCTACCTCCGAGTCTAGTCTAAATAGCTCGGAGGTAGGCTCCGAGCTATTTAGACTAGACTCCCAATTAGGCTCGACATTTTGAGCTAGTCTCCGAGCTATATAAACTAGGCTCCGACCTAGGCTCGATATTTCGAGTTAGGCTCCAAGATATTAGCTGGGCTTTGTGTAATATAAACTCTGTCGTAAATTTAGTTGAAAGATTCAATCTTAGGATTCAATGATTCAATCAGTTAGGATTCAATGATTCAATCAGTTAGGATTCAATGATTCGATTTTAGGATTCAGTTATTCAATATAGGATTCAATGATTCAATCATAGGACTCGTAATCCTTTAAGTACTAGTTAAAACATGAGCAGCCGATCTTTATCTGATATACAAACACAAGCCGAAGGCGAGAGTTTGTATACCAGATAAAGATCGGATGCGAATGTTTTAACATGCTTAAAAAACGACCCATCTTATGAGTTCTTTGGCGAAGTAATTTTAAAAATAAACAATGTTTAAGCCGAGAAAATCAAAGCTGAAGTTTATGTAAATCAGGACAAATCTTTATCCGATTTACAAACTTAAACATTCATTTCTTTTGTATTTTTCCTCATAAATTATTAATGAGTTTTTTTAATGACTGTTAATGACTTTGGCGGTATACGTTTTAGATATCCACAAAAGATAAAATTTCGATATATCTCGCACATAACTTGTAATAACTCCCTTTTCGTTTGTATTTTTTCTGTCTCAAGCTCGCTGGAGTACCATATGGAGTGGGCGGATCAATGACTTTTTAATTACTTTGTAATATGCAAATATCGACCATAAAGCTCCGTTTACACGAGCAAATTTTATTTGACAAATTTCATATGTCAAAGACATTTTGCTCGTGTAGATGATAAATTTGTGACAAATTTATTGTGACAAATGCATTTGAACAAAAGCTAGCTTTTGATCAAATGCATTTGATCAAATGAAATTTGTGAAATACAGTTTGCTCGTGTAAAAGGCGGGGCTTGACAACGGCGTTGTCAACCATGTTAACTTGTGCTTAGCAACTGCCAAGTTCTTTTTAAATTTATATATATGTCTGGAATTTTTTATTCCTGGTTTGATAATCCTACAAAATATTACATTTCTAAATAAAAACTGAGTATTGGGTTGGGGAGGGGGGGGATGACGCCATAAGCGTGAGTATGAGAGGTGTAATCGCGTTTCGGGACCTCCGGGATAAACAAAATCCCACAGGGGCAAATTTCACAAAAGGTAAACCATTAAAGTGACTTCCGAGAAACAAAAAGTCACTCCGGGACACTCTTTCAAATGGTAAATAGTAATGTTTAATTAGATTATAACTGCATATGACCAATACGAAATGACATTATGGTGACGTCATGGGTGGTACTTAGTGCATCACCCGCTCCAGAACCCCTGTTTATCGACCACCAAACGCTGATGTAGATTCGCTTTTGGAATTAAGATCTAATTTCGACAAACTGGAAGCATCTGGTAGACTTTTGAAGGTGGTCGATTTTAATTTACCTAATATTGATTCGTCTCGGGAATATCCTATACCTAAAGAGAATAACAACCTAAATGAGCTTTTCTGTTAAATTGTTAATTTAATGATAACTTTCTCAGGGAAATGGCTGATGGTCCCACCCACATTAATGGAAATAAGCTCGACTGCATACTCTCTAGTCACACTTACGTCATAACGAATTTATCATGTATCCCACCAGACAGAGTATTCCCAACCGATCATTACTTGATTGACTTTAATGAAATTAGACTCATTTTCCAAGGACTAAGCCAGTCAAACGCATGATTATAAAAATGTTAATTTTGATAATCTTCGTGCTCATATTGGGCGAGTTTTCTTTGACCTAGCAATATCAGAGGCGTCAGATATCAACGACTGTTGGAAAATTTGGAGAGATCTGTTTTTAACATGAGCTGTGGAAGAATTTGTGCCTAAGAAAACCGGTCTCGGACAAGAATACTCCACCATGGATTGATCCCCTACTCAGCAAAGAAAAGCAATTCTCCGACGTTTATCTCAAAACATCAAACAATTAAATCTTCCTTTAATGATAACCCAAACTGGCTCTTTTGGTCATATCATAAGGCGATTCATGACAATAAGCAACACTCAAATGTTATAACTGATGGATATTCTATTGCCTGTTCTGCTGTGCCGAACTTGTGTCGGCACACTAAAACTCTCGTATTATGTTTTAGTAAAGTTTAATAAACTATAAAAACTCCCACTTTTTACACAAAACTCTCGCTCACAAAGTCTCACATGTTCGTTGTTTTTCCCGATACTCAGGTCGCCCGCGAACAGGCTTGTTACCCACAGTAACCCAATACCCCTATCTATAATATGTTCGTTCACACTCCCCTCTAAAATTAAATGTTTTTTTTAATTTTATATTTAATATCAACTAGAAAGTTAATGTTCCCAATCAAATGTCCGACATTATGTCGAGTTCCATTCTCAGTTCAATCTTCTTCGTCTTCCTCTTGTATCAACTGCAGTATTTTACACCTAGCGAGCTTTGCCGCTTGTCTCTTACTCTTCCGTTGTCCGCTTTCGTCCGTTTCTTTTGGCTTCGTCTCCTTTGGCTTCGGTTCTTCAATCTCTGTTTCCTTGAGTTCGAGAGAGCAAACAAGAGAAAGCGGTCTTTCAATCGTATGTCCCTTCGTCAAGATCTTTACTCCTCGTACAACGTTGTCCTTGCCCTTGATTAGCTCAACAACTTTTCCCCGTTTCCATTCAGCTCAATTCTTTTCCTCACCGACCACCAACATCATTTCTCCCACTTCTGGAGACGCATTTTCCCCTTTAATCACTCGATGATGTTCCATCAAACTATGTACGTACTCCGTCTTCCATCTTTGCCACGCGTCTTCTCGTTTCTGCTTCATTCGTTTGTGTAACTTCACGACTTCTTCTCCATCATCCGTGTCTGATTCGTCAATGGTAAGCTTATATGTGAGGGGACCCGCGAAATCAACACCAGTTGTTTCAAATGGTCGTCCGCTTTCGATTCGAAACGTAGGTAGTTCGGCAGTTGCTGTACGACCATATGGTTTGACTCGGTACGCTTTACATACGTTGCATTCGTTAATGATCCTTTTAACTTTCGAGCGCAGTCTCGGAATCCACCAGTTCTCTCTTAGTGCGGCCATCGTGTTCGCGATACCAAAATGACGTATCTCATTGTGTGTATACATAATCAATTTGTCCGTAAAGCCTCCTCCTTCCAAGCATATCGGCTGATACCCGGGAATTCGACCTTTACATTTCAGTAAACCAGAATCACCTTCTCGTATGACTTCCCATCCAGGTGCTCGTAGCTCTGAACTCATATCTTCTTGGACCTTCTTCACCCATCGCACTTTTGACTGTTCTAGCTCGTTCGTCGTCAGCGGACCTTTCGCTAGGTTAGTTTTCTGTTTTCTGGCTCTTGCATTGCTTACAAATCTTAACGCCCACGCAGTAACACGAATAGTCTTCCAGTAGCTTGATCTAGAAAGTAGCAAGTCCCATTTGGCCGGACCCTTTTCTTCCGTATTGAAAGCTACTTCCGTCATCGGCTTCTGCTCGTCCAGGACAGCCTTTGTTCTCTCGAGCTTTGGTTGTTTTGGCCATTTGTCTGGGTTAACTAGCCACTCGGGACCATTAAACCAACCGTCCTTTTCCATTTTGTCGATCGAAGCTCTCCGGCCGACTCCCTAAATCAGCTAAATTTTCCTCGGATGGACAGTACTTCCAACTGATGCCTACTTCTTCCGTATTCCATTTATATCCGAGTATTTTGCTGGGATTTGATTCGTTGTCAAGTTCTTCGACATTCGACTCCCACTTGTGGACTGGGAACTTCGCGTCTTCTAGGATTTCTGTCGCTTCGCGTTTGAAATCTTCAAGATCTGCAATATCACTTCCGGTCTTCATTAGATTATCAACATAAGTGTTCTCTTTTAACGACTCAATGGTGTTTTGGTACTCTTCTGGCTGCAGATTGAAGTGGTGTTGCAGGGTGGCACCGAGCATAAATGGGTTGGCTTCCACGCCGAAAGGCACACGGGTAAATCTTAAATGTTCTACTTGACCGTTAATGTCAAACAGAAACCGAAACGCATCTCGATCATCTTCCTTCAAACCAACCTGCAGAAACGCCTTCTGCAAGTCTGCGAGTAGTAGATGGGTTGACATTCTGGCTCTGATTAATATGTCCCATAACAATGGTTGAAGTGGGGGGCCAGTGTGTATGCATTCATTGACGCTATTGGCCGTCGGATGGGGTCTGGCACTGGCATCGAACACCATTCTCACCTTGGTTGTAGAGGCATTTTCTTTAATCACCGGTTTGTGTGGCATGTAGAACACACGTTCCCCATTCGAGCTCTCTTTGGTCTTTTCAATGACTCCGTCTTTCAACTGTTCATGCACAATTTTCTCGTATTCATCTTTGAGCTGTTGATTCTGTTTCAACTTCCTGTTTACATTGTGGAGTCTCTTCCTACTGGGTTCTTCATTAGTGTTTGACAATACAGCTCCAGGTATCCATGGAACAGCAACTTCGTATCTTCCATCCTCTTTCCTAGTGATGCTTTCTTGGAATTCTGCATAAATTGTTGACTGATCTTTCTCCCCTCGATCCTCTACTCCCAAGACATCTAGGGAATAGAGCTGTTCATAATCACTATGGTCACAAACATACATGCACCTTGAGTCTGCGTAATCTTGGCCGCCATGAACTACCCAGCCGAAGGTCGTTCCTTCTACAATCGGATCCTCTGATTTTCCCTTGTAGACTTGATCAGTCCGTATTTTGCAATAGGTTGCATGGGGTGATAGTCTTAATTAGAGACCTTAAGATTGACGTTTACGGCAAACGTCAAACCGCTAGCGAAGTTTTTGATTTTACAACTCTATTATTATAGCTTTTACACCAGTTTTGAAATATGTTAAACTTATTAAACTTGTGCTCTTTAGCAATGATTTAAGAAAGCAAATTAACCACTAGTCATGCCATTCACCAAAGCAGTAAATTAAGATTTGGCGTTTGAAGTTGGCGTTTGGCGTATAAATTTCATGCTTTAACGACTACAACCCCTCGTAGCAGTTCAAACATGAAATTTATACGCCAAACGCCAACTTCAAACGCCAAATCTCAATTTACTGCTTTGGTGAATTGCATGACTAGTGGTTAATTTGCTTTCTTAAATCATTGCTATAGAGCACAAGTTTAACAAGTTTAACATATTTCAAAACTGGTGTAAAAGCTATTATAATAGAGTTGTAAAATCAAAAACCTCGCTAGCGGTTTGACGTTTGCAGTAAACGTCAATCTAAAGGTCTCTAATGTCGCACTGCTTCCTTCGAGATGAAATTTCTCCCAGAGCCCGTGTCGAGATACGCCCAAAATGTCTTACCCTTAATTTTAAGTGGCACAATAGCTGGTAAAGACTTCTCTTCAGAGGATGGGGAATATCCATTTAACATTGCGTTGTGGTTTTCTCGATTATTGTTTTCCTGCAGTTTATCACAAAGGCTAGTGTGATGTTTGCCCTTGCACTTGTAGCACCCCCTACTGCGACATTTACTTTCGCGGTGGCCTGGTCGACCACAATTAAAGCACAGTCGTTTTTCAACAAAGAACTGTCTACGCTTAGTCACAGAGTCATACGATGTGCATTGGTCTCCCCAGTGCTGTCCTTCGCAATAAATACAGACCGGGCCCTTGCCTTTACCATTGGTAAACTCTCCCCCCTTTTGGGTATACCAGTTTCGCTCCCTCTTTCTTGGGTTTTCATGCTCCTTAGTTGATACCTCTTCTGTTTTGTTACGCTTCAACCACCCCTGTAATGCTGATAACAATTGTTTCATGTTCCAATCTTCCCAATTATCCATACGTACTAAATCAGGCTTAACCTGGGGGAGTTTATTTAAAGTAGATACCACCAATCCCTTTAACATAGCTTCTTCACTCAACGTTTGCAGTGCGTCATAGTTTTTGCAAATACTTTCATAAAATTCACATACCTTATCGTAATTTCTTCCTCTCACCGTCTGTAACTTAATAATCTCCTCCATATGAGCTGCAATTACTAATTTATTATGACCATATTCCATTTTCAACCTTTCCCATGCTGTTTTGTAACCTTCTGACCCCGGCTTAAAGTTCGAAAGTCTACCTCTCACCTTCGGATTCACGAGCTCTAACAGGTACCCAAATTTCTCAGCGTCCGAAATGGACTTGCTGCCAACTTGTGAGGAAAACATATTCTCAAACCTTATCCAGTCAGCAGAAGTGCCATTAAAGGGTGATATTTTCAACTCTGGTAGTTTCGATATACTTGCTTTAGCTTCTTTCTCCATCTGAATTTTCTTCTCTGCCAGCACTAACTCCGCTCTCATTCTTTCTTCCCACATTTCTTTCTCTCGTTGTTGGATCTGCCTACGTAGTTGCTCTTCTTTCTCCATCTTTCTGATCGCCACTTCTTCCTCAGCTCTCAAGTTTTCATGTCTCTGTCTATCGTCTAGTACCCTACACAACCTCGCACGTTTCTCACATAGTGGTGCATACTCTGCCTTCAAATCTCTTGTCCACTGTCTAATAGATCTTTGTGATGAATTTCCCAGCTCAATTTTTAATTCTTGTAAATGCGACACCAAGTCGTTCATATTATCTTGAATCTGCTGTGTTCGCTTGCGTACTTGTTTGATTTCATTAAAATCCTCACTTTCCAATAATTCGTCGACGTCCTCGAGATAAAACTGCAGCTTTTCAATCTCTTTTCTAATCTTTTTCTCCTGGTCTTTCTCCTCCTGAGTGATTTCTACCGTATCATTCTCCTCAATTTCTTGTTGTTCAAGTTCGTCCGCCATCTTGGATTTCGTAATACCCTCAATTTCTCGTCTTTATCCGCAAATATTTCGTTGTTCAATCCTGGTCACGGCACCAAAATGTGCCGAACTTGTGTCGGCACACTAAAACTCTCGTATTATGTTTTAGTAAAGTTTAATAAACTATAAAAAACTCCCACTTTTTACACAAAACTCTCGCTCACAAAGTCTCACATGTTCGTTGTTTTTCCCGATACTCAGGTCGCCCGCGAACAGGCTTGTTACCCACAAGTAACCCAATACCCCTATCTATAATATGTTCGTTCACTGCTAAGGATAAAGCTGAAATGTTTAATTCCTATTTTGCCTCGATATTTCAACCAAAATGTGATGAGAACAATCTCCAAGATGATATCTCGTTCGTAACAAACTCAAAAATAGGCACTCGAGGAGTGCGTAAGGATTTGCAATTTTGTTGTCAATTTTATAATGCAAGAAAGATGGAAAAATATCGCCCAAAATGTAGTATAACAAAACACAACATCATGACAAATCTTTTCTTTGAATGTCAATTTTTGTTTAATTACTGTTATATTTAAAGTTAATCTACTACAACTTTTAAATGGCTTTATCACTGCCTGAAAAATAAAAGAAAAACAACAAAATTGTTTCGATGTTTCCGCAACAAGCAATTAGCCATTTCCCAATCAAGCAGAGGACTGGGTCTAGTTGATGTTTGGAGGGACAACAAGTTATAGTGAGCGAGCTAAATACATGTTAAAAGATGCCTTATTATAATAGTTTATTTTTTGTCCCCCCAAACAAGCGACTAGACCCAGTACTCTGCTCGATTGGGAAATGGCTAATTGCATTTCTAATTCATTTCCAATGAATACGAATGAAAAATGGAACAATACAGTTTTCATAACGGAAACACTGCTTTTAATTTTATTTTTTTATAACTCCGCTCCTGAGTTGAACGAATTTGTCTTTCAGGACCTTAATTTTCCGCTAATAAATAATTTTGTGAAGAAACGGTCATGTGTAACTCAACTTTTGACCGTTTTGCATGATGTCGGCAAAAACTTGGATAATAACAAGCAAACAGATATGATATATCTTGATTACTCCAAGGCCTATGACTCCGTTGACCAGAAAATACTCCTGCAGAAGCGTCAGGCTCACGGAGTCAGTGGCTCATTATTACTCTGGTTCAAAAGTTAGCTAACAAATCGGTATCAGCGAGTCGTTGTCGAAAACATTGCTACAGATTGGTCACCTGTGACATCAGGTGTCCCTCAGGGAATTATCTTAGGGCCAATATTATTTTGTATTTTTACAAATAATGTTGTGGACACGTTGTCACCAAACACGAATGCTGCCCTCTATGCTGATGACAGCAAAGTTTACCCATCCATAGTGACTTTGAACGACTCCATCTCCCTACAAGGTGATCTGCACAGTCTGGACGAGTAGAGTAACGAAAGTAGAATGAATCAACTCGTCAAAGTGTAATTAACATTCTCACTGCATGTGACGCGAAAGAAATCTCCTATCGAATATCCTTTATACAGCCTTGCCGGTAACGAACTTGCACGTCGTGATGAGGAATTAGATTTGGGCATAACAATCAATTGTACTCTGAAATGGGACTCCCACGTTACGCACGTGATGGCGCCATAAAGCTACAAAATGTTGGGTCTTTTGCGTAGGACCTGCTATACCATGATCGAAACACGTGTTAGAAGAACCTTGTACTTATCTCTTATTCAGTCTCAACTAATATAGTCCAGAAGCTACTAACATAACATTATGACCCATTTTCCTCAAAAGTGCTGACCACCTCTATGAAAGGGTACCATCAAGGACAAAACATTTTCATTGGTCAGCTTGCCCGATTTGGGTTCGTTTGGGGTCCAGGCCCTTACAAATGCCTCAAATTCGGACCTTTAATGGACCTCATTAGCCTTAAGGCTGTAATTGTGCTTATGCAGTCTTACTATAGAAAAGAGAATATGGAAAAGCTAACCGAAAAATACGGTTCAAACACTTAGTCGGACCCCCCGCAAAAATACAATTCGGGATCATGATTAGATCGATCCCATCAATTACAAACTCAAATCTTTGTGTGAACAATCTTCATGTCATAGAAAGGTAATTCGCAACAAAGCTTACAAAAAATTACGGTTCCTTACTGCACACAAGTTTGGTCACCGACCAACATTGCGGTAATGAAAAGGATTGAGGGAGTGAAACGACGTGCTACACGATGGATTCTCAGATGTAAACGTGGAGAACTCACTTAGTTAGAACGTTTACACCGACTTGATTTTTTAGATTTGATTTATTACCATAAATGTACATATATATAAACTTGTTGATCTTGGTTTGACCAAATTTACATCTGCTGTCCGGGGTAGAACAAGGAAGGCGACGTCACTCGCATTATTTACGGACACCTCATTGTGACTAGTACCTATCAAGCTTCATACTTTATAGGATAGTGAAACAGTGGAACCAAATTCTCAAGATAGCACCTAGTGGAACTTTTTCAACATTATCAAGTTTCAAGGCGTTTCTTAATAAAACATATAAAGACTTACTAGATATCTTTGAGCCTGATATGGCTTGTACTTACTCACTTTGCAGGTCGTGTTCCTGCACAGATAAATATTGTATGTGATAATTTTTATATATTTGTTAATAATTGTGTAGTCTCATTTAAAGATGACTGGCATCTTGCATGGGACTTTTCCCGTTTGTGCCATGCCTTATTTGGTATGTATTTATTTATTATATTATTTTGTAAAATGCCAAATTAAAGTTGCTAAAGGCGGCTTTACGTGTTTAAATTTACAGTTGTTTCCAAATCTGCATTCTTCTTTTTTTCAAATTGGTAACATGACTGTTAGCTTGTATTTGTCATATCGTTGTTAATTTAATTCATGTACACTGTTCGATGTGTTATCTATTTCGTGATTTTGTTTTTCATACCCACTTTGTCTTCTTTCTTATTGTTATCTTCCTTATTTAATCTTCCACAAGCAGAAGCAGCAATATCCCCATTTTCACATTCATATTTCTCTATCACTTGATACTTCCTTATTTCAACCTTCATTTCAGTTATTTCTTTCCGTTACTTCATCTTACTTTACATTGGGACGATTGTATCAACGACGCTTATATTTAATAGTTTTACTAAAAACGTGAACGCGTACCAATGGAAGATATCATTATGTTCTATTGCACATACATTAGACCTGTTTTTGAATATTGTACACTTGTGTTCCACCATTGCCTCTCAAACTACCTAAGTGGTGACCTAGAACGAGTGCAAGAACGCGTTCTGTCGATTTTATCTCCAAAAGAGTCGTACCAGCAATATCTGAAGAACTTCAAGTTAGGCTACCAACACTACGAAGTCGGAGACACAACCTGTGCGAAAAACTTCTTCTCGTTCTCTTCTTGGTTTTTTTTCGATTATCAACTTGAGAACTTCTATCTCACATTTAAGCTTGATAACGAACTTTGCATTATTGAGTTCATTTTCATTTATCTTAGTAATATGTTTTCAGATTGATTTCATCCTTCCATTTATAGACTACCATCTTTTTCTTCTTCCTTTCCTTCCTTTTCAATATTTGTTTCATTCAATCTCACCTATCCCTTGTTCCTCTTGACTATCTTTTAAAGAATGTATATTCACAATCCCCATATAATTTTCCACTTATGTTTTTGTAGTTTTCTGACATTTGTAATGTCACCGGCCAACTATTACAAACTGTGCATAAAATTCCACGGCGTTTACTTCTTTCTTACCTCATTTTTACATGTTCTATTTCTGATTTGGCAGAATCTTGCGTATGCGCAGTATTAGCGTGTGACACCGTTTGGCTGGAGTTTGGTTGAAGTAAGCCAGAGTTTCATTTCTGTATACAATTTAACCTGCATGCGATCAGGCCTATAAATAAATAAATAAGCCTGATACAAACCTTAACAAAAGTCCATGCCTTAAGGCCTGTACTTTTAGAATGACTGCTAAATTTAGAGAACCAATCGCATGCAGTTATCGCTACATGCTGGGTGCGTGCAACTGCACGTGCTGTAGCCTGCGTCCGTTCTCTCGTGCCCGCGAATACCGCCTGCTACACATGCACGTAAAAACGTACAGCTTGTAACAAGTCTGCAAACAAGTTGTTACACGTTTATTCACAAGCTGTCAACAAGTTGTGCTCGCACTGCTTGTTCCCAGTTTGTTGTAACAAGTTTGAAACAAGCTGTTAACAACTTGTAACAAGCTTGATGGCATTATCAGCCTTGTAACAAGAATTTGCTAACAAGTTTGTTACAGCCATGATATAACAAGGATGTTACAAGGTTGTCAACACAAGGTTGTAACAATCTTGTTATATCAAGCATGTCACGGACTTGTCAGAACAACCTTGCAACAAGTCTGATAATTTCGGTTGATAATTAAAGGTTGTTACAAGTTGTCAACAAGTTGTTCCAAACCTGTTGACAACTTGTGACAAGCAGTGCGAATACATCTTAATTGTTAACAGCTTATGAACAGACTTGTAACAAACTTGTGCGTTTTTACGTGTGTACGCAGGCTACACGTGCTGTACAATTACGACAATACAGACTGTGTAAACAATACAAAAACATTTTCAAATCGATAGATTTGTCAGTTGTGAAATTTTAAACTATATTATTATATTTTTACAATTGCTAACTTGCTAGTTTATTTTGTCTTACGTTACTTTTCAGTATATCCAAGTTATTGTCATCCAAATTTCGGTCATATAAAAGTTTTATATAAATTTTGTATATATATAGCGGGCTCAAATTGTAGTCATCGGTTTACATGCAAAACGAAGGGCGCGCCATTGAACTATAAATAAACTGGAAGGCTAACTGCTATGATGAAGGCAGAATAGTTTTTCTGAATTACGAGCAGAAATACTTGATCCCAAACGTTAGGCTATATATCAAATTGAAGCTATTGAAAATTGCTATTCGGTGTGGAAATTTCAAGACTTCAGCGAAAAGAAAAATATTTAAAAAATACAAAAACAACTGCAAAACGGCAAATTATCGGCAATTATTTTTGTATTTTTTCAATATTTCTCTTTTAGCTAAAGTCTTGAAATTTCTACACCAAATAGCGTTTTTCAATAGCTTCAATTTGATATATAGCCCAACGTTCAGTGTTGAGTATTTCTGTTCATAACTCAGAAAAACTAAAATGCACTGGCTTCAATCCCCCCCCCCCCTGAGTTAGCCTTCCAGTTTATTTATAGTTCAATGGGGCGAGCACATTTAAACCCGGTTAGAACTGGTTATTACCGGTTTTTAATACTTCGTCCAGAATTTTGGACGAACAAAAACACAAAAACAGCAGAGCCTTATTTCCTCCGCGAGGGGAAATCAGGATCTGCTCTCAGTATATTTTGTATAGCCATCAGACTCTGTTTGAGGGCGTTACGTCATGTCCGTAGTGAGTTTGATATGTAAAGCTAAAAAAAGAACTTTTCCTTAAATGACAATTTAAGTGAAATTTTCTTTTTTACCGTAATTTCCGGCAAGACAAAACCTAACGATCGGAAATGAGTATGTCGACTAAATGAAAACAAAACTGTATATATATATATATAGTCTATTTACGTCTATATATAGCCATCACGCCCTGCCAGGCCAGCACAAGCGTCGTGGTGCAAACCAAAATGCAAATGTTGTCTGCATCAGTGGTGATTATGCAAATGCGTGTTACAGAAATATTATACTTTATTACAAATTTGAAATTATCAAATATTTTACTATATATAGACTGAATCAGCTGATCTCAATTAGACTAAAACAGAGTTTTCTCAACATGTTTAGTCTGGGCAGTTTAAATTTTTTGTCAATAACTTTGCAACTGACCCCTAATTCTCACTAAATCTTATGATACAATGTGATTTGAATGACAACTGAGTACAGAATACGTATATATATTGCTTGATTTGAAGAGGGGCCTCGGTGGCGCCAGCGTCAGAGCAAGCCGCCTCTGAGTTCGTGGGTACGATGCGCGCTGCGGACTATTTGAAAAGAGTCAGTCGACGCTCTGCCGAAAGGCGTGGGTTTTCTCTGGGCGCTCCGGTTTCCTCCCACATCGGGGAAAGTCGACAGTGTAGGTTAGGATAAACATAGTTAGGAAAGTAATATGACAATTGTTGTATTAAAAGATAAATAGTCAAGGCTAAGTAGGTAATCCCCGTGCCAACGGCGCGGAGCGCCGTGCGTGGGTAATAATTCCGCACGGGTATTTACACCCTGGTAGTTGAGAACATAGCGAAGTGCAAAGTCGTCCTCCATTTTGATTATATCATGGACGCTTTTTGACGTTATGCGCATTCGCGAGTACAAGCTCTTGCTAAAAAAATTATTTTTCATTTTGCAAAGACGAACACCGCGGTAAAACGTCTGCGCATGCTCGTGTACTAGGTTTAACATGGTCATGAAGCAGCTAGCTTAACATGCTCATAAATTTCGCAATTTACATATACAGTATATAGCAATTAAATTTAAGTTGCTTCTCTCCAGTTGGACGGAGGTTTTCTAAGAACGAATCAATTTCATTCATCTCAACACAATTGTTAAATGGAGCCAATCAAAATGACTGACTATTTTCTGAAAATTGAAAATGTTTCCCATGTGCATGGAAAATAGCCGACGATCTGTATTTAAACACCGCAAATGGCACTCAAAATCATGATATTGTTTTTGGAATTTTATTGTTTACTTTTGCTTACTGAAGAGCTTGGTTGAAATATAAAAAGTACTTTGACGTTTGGCATGACTTCTTAATGCTGACTTTTCACATCAGCATTGTGACGTCACACCGTAGAATATTATGTCAAAACTCCATATTTGGTAAGATATTGGGTTGATATGATGATTTCACAAGTTGGATCTTAGCCAATCAGAAACCATGAATCTTTTAAATAAAAAATATTATTTATCAGGTACTTCGATCCTTCAACCAAGCTCGTGATATTGTCGACACATCGCTACCTGCACTACCCTGGATTCCAGAGCCTTCGACAGTAAATAATAAATTGAAACGTCGCGAAGGCTCTGGTTCAACGGGAAGATTCTTTGATTGGATTCCAGAGCCTTCGACAGTAAATAATAAATTGAAACGTCGCGAAGGCTCTGGTTCAACGGGAAGATTCTTTGATTAAACCGCGCCAATCACAAAACAGAATTAGTGGTTTTAGTACAGATTCTGTGTAGGAATCAAAGAATCTTCCCGTTGAACCAGAGCCTTCGCGACGATTCAATTTATTATTTACTGTCGAAGGCTCTGGAATCCATGGTATACCTGCACCGGAACGCAACACTTAGTATATTTTTTGTTCACAGTTTAGAGACAACCGTGTAACGATGGATAATAATTTAACGTCTAACTACACCAAAGGTAAGGACGTTGATTGGATAAAAGAACACTTCAGAAAGACACAACTTGTTCCTTTCTGCATTGTAATGGTTGTTGGTATTTTAGCAAACACAACAGTCATTGTGAATGGTATCCAAAGACGACGAACAATCAGACATTACAGTAATTATTTCGTGTTGAGCACAGCTTTTGCTGATTTAGGAGTGGTCGTTATTCAAGTCCCTCTCGCAATTTTTGAATATACGTTGGGATTCTCAAATATAAGTCAGTTCACATGCAAGTATGTCATACAAACACGTGAAACGTTTCAAGGAGCAGGCATTTTCAGCGTCTCTTTCTTGGCCTTCATACGTGCACGGCAATTGATGAGTTACCCATGTCAACAAGTTTCGAGGCGTACTTGTAGAATTTTGATAACGGGAATATGGCTGTTGAGCTATTTATTATGCACTTTGCCTTTGTATTTTATTTACAAGGTTTATCCCGATGGTTATTGTGATCCAGACTGGGGTGGCGAAACTGTTCGGAGAGTATACCTTACTCTCATTTATTGTATGATGCTTTCACCCATGATCATGGCCACTATATCCTACTCATATGTCATTTGTAAGGTTAGGAACACGCGTAGCTCAATTCCAAATGAAAACTTGAGAAGAAAAAATCGAAATGTCACAGCGTTACTCATCTCTTTGATTTTATCATGTTGGATAAGCTATGTTCCAATAGCTCTTCTTTTTATGCTTGAAATTTACACCGATGTAGATTTTTATGGTCCTTATGGATGGTCAATAACAGGTATATTTTATGTCAGTGGATCTGCACTCAACCCTGTTCTTGTCTTGGTAACCATGCCTCGTGACTACCGCTATTGCTTGAAATGTAAAGTAAATAATGTGAGACCTGTTGGTGCACTACAGGACCCGCCGAAACATCGTATAGATAACGTAGTTATGGAGTATAATAGCCCGCAGTCAGGTGTGCAGTCACCCTGCACACTTCACCAATTCAAGTGGTAAAATCTGCCAATGACCTTGTCACTCGTTGAAAATTAGGCTCTGGGTTAGACGGCTAAAGGGAGAGATCTGATTGGCTTCTCAAAGAACTGCTATTTCCCAGAAGTTAAGCAGTTTTTGCTAGCCAAAATTATTCTATAAAAATATGTCAACACAAATACTTTGTTTCTTCGCAATACTTCTCTGTGAAAATTGTTACGGGTCCTAAAGCGTCCCAATTCAAGAATATGCGCTTTAGAAACTACTGCAAGTTTTCTTGCATTTCCGGTTCCGTGTATCCCAGGGCCTATGAAGTTCGCGCGCGGCTGAGAGGCCCTGGGAACGAGGATTAGGCGCACCCAACTCTCGTACCCAGACCTACGCGCATGGGGTCTAGGTACGGTAATTGGCGCATCCTTTTTAGTAGTGTAAAATACCAATCGTATTATAAACCGTAAATGCAAATTTAATATTTTTTTAACATAACATAACATTTATTAATTTATATCGCGCAATTCAACAATGCAGTAAATGCGCGTGAAAAAACTTTCCAACTTAACAGCAGATTTTTCAAACAAAAATTTCAAAACAAAACGTCAATAAAAGAAATAACAGCCTTCAAATTCCAAGCCTATTTCGGGTAAAAGCACCATGATCAAAGTCGATTCAAGCTGCTTGAAATAGAGCCTGCTACTGACGTCAAAAAAAAGTGGACAGTACGTGATTTGGATGCTACTTTTGGCCGCATTAATTATTGCCTTTGCTGTCTACAAACACGGTCAATAACCGTTATTTTATTTAGTATGTATAATTCCTGGCCGTTAATGAAAATTGGAATATATATTTTCGAGATATTGGTGGAAAAATTGGCCGTTAATTGTCATATTTTAAATTAGCTTTGATAATCTAAATAACAGTCGCTGTTTTGATTGGTTGTTATTCTCGATTGGTTGTTATTGGTTGTTATTACCAAATAACCAAATATAAATAAAGCAACAGAATTTAATGTTCCGCAAGTTTTAAATATTTAAAAAATAGAACGATTCAAAGTTTTACGTGCGTGTACGTGCGTACGAAAAACGCAACAGTGGAAATCAGCCTTAATAGACAATTTACAGTAGCCATAAGTTTGACCGGGTCCCATGAACAGATCTGGAGAACGCCGTTTAAATATTTTGTGATTTGTGTAATGATTATGTAATAATTATATGGATCTTGTAGCACACGAACTAAATTCGTTTAATTTATCCAAAGTACTCTGTTTTCGATACTTATTATATGTGTAAGTATGTATGAATGAGAGTTTTGTTAGTATTTTTATGTGCAGTATAAAGACCCCGCTCAAAAATCTACTGAATTTTGACGTCAGAACTAAACAACTAGACCATTTCAGTTCTTGAATAGTTCTTTTTGCTTATTACATAACATTGATAATTGCCCGAATTTGATAAAAATGTACATGAACACCTGCTTCGACTATCGTATTTACTCGTTTAAACGCCGCGGCGCTCTTTAAATTGTTTTGTGTTTCGCGCGCGCTCATAAATCAAAAATAACTTTATTTGAGAATTGAACGAGAGAGCATTGAAATACACTAACTCTGACTAAACACACTGTAATGCTGGAGCTAAAATAAATAATATTTCCAAGGCTGATTAAAGATTGAGATCAGTGTACTGCAGTTGTTCTCGAACGATTCTGTCTGACGGCGAGAAGTGCGACGCTTAAACGAGTAAATATGGTGGTGGTTTTGGGTTTGTATTGCATAACATATAATTTCAAATGAAAGCTGTATTCACTATATAGTAAATTCAATAACATATAATTTCAAATGAAAGCTGTATTCACTATATAGTAAATTCAATAACATATAATTTCAAATGAAAGCTGTATTCACTATATAGTAAATTCAATAACATATAATTTCAAATGAAAGCTGTATTCACTATATAGTAAATTCAATAACATATAATTTCAAATGAAAGCTGTATTCACTATATAGTAAATTCAATAACATATAATTTCAAATGAAAGCTGTATTCACTATATAGTAAATTCAATAACATATAATTTCAAATGAAAGCTGTATTCACTATATAGTAAATTCAATAACATATAATTTCAAATGAAAGCTGTATTCACTATATAGTAAATTCAATAACATATAATTTCAAATGAAAGCTGTATTCACTATATAGTAAATTCAATAACATATAATTTCAAATGAAAGCTGTATTCACTATATAGTAAATTCAATAACATATAATTTCAAATGAAAGCTGTATTCACTATATAGTAAATTCAATAACATATAATTTCAAATGAAAGCTGTATTCACTATATAGTAAATTCAATAACATATAATTTCAAATGAAAGCTGTATTCACTATATAGTAAATTCAATAACATATAATTTCAAATGAAAGCTGTATTCACTATATAGTAAATTCAATAACATATAATTTCAAATGAAAGCTGTATTCACTATATAATAAATTCAATAAAATTTCCTTTTTATTCTTTTCTTTGGTTAATCCAGATTTTACTCGTCCAAGGCAATCGAAACAAATTGTCTATACCGACAACGATGGAATTAGTCTGGCTAACGTCAAACTGTATTGATCTTACTAGTCAATAGGAGGAGGCACCGTAATACATTAACTGACTTATTGAATACCCACTAACACCCCCCACCCCCGCTACACATTGGTCAATTTCAGTTTATTGGAGCAAATTTATGATCATGATGCCACTGAATAATTTCACCAGTTTCCATGTATTTGCCACCAAACACATGCAATGTCAACACATATATAGCGAACAAATTAGTGACTCTGATGGCTGTCTTTTAAATTGGCCATCATGTGCTGCACTGTCCCACCTGAATTCGCCTAGGGCCGTACAGTGTATATATCGGGAGATGCGTACATCAGATCCTAGTTTCTCACTAAGCTCCACTTGTTCCCCTTGTTGACGTCTGATGAGGACAAACGAACAGAACAAAGGCGCATTGTTCTGTGGTAGTAGTCTATATGGAAGCTATATATCCATTGATAAAATTGTCGTTTCTTTGGCAACCTACCAATTTTGGCAATTTAATTATATATTACAGGGAGTGCCCGGAATTCAATTGCTTTGATGCTTTTTCCAGGTGCACATTTCCTAAAGCCCCGCTCAAACGAGGATGAGAGTTGGCAGTCACGCATTGTTACAGAGGATATTTTAAGCTTTATTTAACCAACTATAAGTTTGGCGTGTTCCAGCTATGTTTTAAATAGAATACATGACGGTGTTGGGAAAGCATTAAGAACTGAGCTAACCACGGTCGCGTGATTGCCAACCCTCATGCTCTTTCATCCTCGTGTGATCCGGGCTTAATAAAGAAAAGAAGTCAAATTTAAATTAAGCATCGACGAAATGGATTGCAGCAACAGAAAGAACTCACGAAAAGGAGAAAAGTGCTATAATAGACCTAGCTTATGCATAATGACGTCACAAGGCTTGATGCCTGCGAGGAATGCTGGTCTTAGCAGTCATCGCCTGGAAAAATTTTGATAGTGGCAATTTTGAATTGTTTAATTTTCCCGGGCGATGACTACTGAGACCAGCATTCCTCACGGGCATCAAGCCTTGTGACGTCATTATGCAGAAGGTCTATTCGCCCCTTGATAGACTTATATATGATTAAAAGAAATTGAACATTTAAATTCAGAGATAATGTAATAGCTGTTATTGTAATTGAATACGTCTATGCTACGGACCAGCGGTATCTGCATTATTTTGACATGGAGGCGAGGCTATAGGGTCATGTTTTGTGTTTTTAGACCCTTTAGCCTCGTTTCCGTGCGTACTTCCACTGAGATACCGCTGGTTCGCCGCAGCGGCGTATTCAATTACGATAACAGCTATTGCACAGGCTCTGCATTGTGTGTGTGAGCATAGACAATCCAGAAGACAGGGACTGGAAACGCTGTGGCAAAAGCAGTGATGCTGGCGCGACATATATCCATGATGCGCTTAAATCACGAAACAATTATCCGTTGCCCCGGCAACCCGCCTTAATCTGAACCTTAATATTGTCGGGCAAAGTTGATAAGAAAAACCGCGGTCTACAATGAATAATTAAATATAATAATGCCAATATTAATTGCTTTTAATATACCTTGCCATATATAAAGAACACCTGTATATGAATGATGATGGCTTATGGCAAAGATTATAAAGTTATTTATATATATAGTTAGTATAAATTTTAGAGCAAATTTGGATGCTCAGAATGCAGGAAATTGCATTTCCGGGTTTCAAATTTCAAACATTTTCTGGGGGAGTATGTCGGCCACATGGCTATCCCCCACTAATATATGATCTCACAGAAAGGTCCCTTTTCAAAAAATGCTCCCCCCCCCCAACGGAAAATCCTTAAAAAAGGGCCAGATAAAATCTCGAACAAAGTTGTTTATGTGTACTGTGTAAGCAAAGCGGTCGGGCAAACTAATACTGTGCCCCCCCCCCCAAACAAGATTAGGTCCGTACGCCCATGGACGAAGCCGGACCAGTGAAAAACCTTTAACTGTGAAAGAAACATGTCCCAAGCACCAACTCGAAATTCATCATAAAAAAAGATAAATTGGAGGAAATATAAAATCCATAATTTCATCACAACTATGTATAATTGAAACACATGTTTTCATCGTTGAGCCGATATTTTCATCAGTCGGCAATAAAATCCCACTTATTGGATCCTGACCTAGGGCCTTCCGGCCTATACGCTCAAAACGAGATTGCATGTATTCTGCAATAAGCTGTCCTGACTTTTGTCTGGTAAAGTTCTACTTCTCGTATTTGAACTATTACATATACTATATTGTGACATAGGTTTGTATTTAGCCACTATCCAGAATAACGAGAAACGATTCGACCTGGTTTTTCGTTCCCACACTAGTTGACTTGTTCTTATAAATTTGCTGCTGTGGCGCCGCATGCAGTTCCTCCGCTAGCCGCTAGGGTGCGTTTCAGCTTCTCGACCATGACCATACTGTTAACCCTGTCCATGAGAGAGATATACGTGTTTATAATATAAATACTGTGAGTCCGAATAAGAATAAGTAAACAAATACTGATCTGCTGCACTGCGCAGATAATACCTAAGTGCATTAAGGCAATTTTCCATTGCAGTCGCTTTGCCCGCGCGGGCGGAGCAAACATTACTCAACTTTCTCTGTAGTTGTCTATCCTGTGCATTTTTTGTCCGTTTGAATGCTCGCGGACACGCCATGAAAGTAGAACTACATTCAACTTTCTTGACGTGCCCGCGCGACTGATTTTTCACGTGATTAAAATTGGTCGCTCCACCCGCGCGGGCAAAGCGACCGCAATGGAAAATTGCCTTTAGGGAGCTTCTGGCATGGTCATCTATCTGATATTGACTTGCCCTTCGTTTACTTCCCAACCAAACTCGCTGATTTAAGGGGGTGACATAACTGTTTGGAGTGCACCTTTCCATATGCGGCATTCATATGATGTACGATTTGTATGTAAGTAAAAGAACGTCATTCGTGCATGGCATGGTGTTCAATCAGATAGATAGATAAAGATAGAAGTAAACGAAAGGCAAGTCAATATCAGATGGATGCCGGCAATTACTGATGGAATTTTGGAAAACGTTACTGTTGTTGTAAGTCTGGATATTCACCAAGACGTTGTGCCTGTCAAAAAGCCGAGAATAGAAGTTTACTGGTCTTTGTTCCGGTTGCGATTGCACAAATTCTCCCGACCAGAAAACAGACGAGAACGATTTCTCAGATGATGATGGCCTATTATTCGAACTTGATGGCGATGACACTGGATTTGATGGCATATTTGAAGAACAATGATGCATGACAATGTACTTAGGTATTATCTGCGCAGTGCAGCAGATCAGTATTTGGTTATGGCTGAGAAGCTAAACGCACCCTGGCGGAGGAGCCGAAACGCGTCCTGGCGCCACAGCAGCAAATCTATAAGAAAAAGTCAACAAGTGTGGGCACGAAAAACCAGGTTGAATCGTTCCTCGTTATTCTAGATAGTGGCTAAATACCAACCTATGTCACAATATAATATATGTAATAGTTAAAATACGAAAAGTAGAACTTTACTAGACAAAAGCATTCAGAACAGCTTATTGTAGAATACATGCAATCCAATAAGTGGGATTTTATTGCACTGATGGAAATCTGGGCCCAAGGATGAAAAACATGTCTTTCAATTATAGATAGTTATGATGAAATTATGGATTTTATATTTCCTCCCAATTTATCTTGTTTATGATGAATTTCGAGTTGATGCCTGGGATATGTTTCTTTCACAGTTAAAGGTCCTTCACTGGTGCAGTCCGGCTTCGTTGGTTGGAACAGATGGTTGGAAAAGATGGATGGAAGAAGCGCCAAACATATCTTGCATAGCCTGACACAAGGGCGTCAGAAGGGGGGAGCCCCCCCCCCCCCTCCAAACTGGGAAACATTGTTGCGCAAAGATATTTGTCAGTATTTGTCTTACTAATGTTTCGGTATTTTATATTGTCTTACCAGCGTCAGCAAACGGAGAAAGAGTGTTTCATCAAATGTTTCTAGTTTGGCAGGAAATATTTTTGTTTTCCAGGAAGCAAATTTCGTTTCTGCAATAAAAGCCAATGTTTCCAGATGTGGGAAACATTTGAGCAAACATTGAAAATCACGAATATTCCCAAGGCTTTAGTTTAACGAAATATTTAATTTTTTTCCTTAATCGTGTGAATCGTATGTATATTTATATACTCTCCGTCCTGTTTGATACAGGTGAGTTTTTACGTCGCACAAATTTGTATTGAATTAGGATGTTAATATAAAGTATAATTAAACGTTAAAACGGTATTTTGAAACAATAGCCAATGAATTGAAGTGATTTAGCATATGAGCAAGCAAAATATACAATGTGTTTTTAACAATATTTAATGTGGGTGTATTTATATTACAAGGTTTGATCAGTATTCTGTGATTTTATTTTGTTGTTTTTGCGGAGGAAATCGGGGAAACCCAACACCGCGGAAAAACGTCTGCGCATGCGTCAACCTTACCTGTAATAGTATTGCGAACTTGATGAGAAGCTGTTCCGAACGTTTCCGAAGGCTCAAAATGGCGGTAAAAAGGAGTGACTTCATTGTGCGTCTTTACAGCCAGATTTCAAGCGCAAAAATAAACATGTCATTCTAAAAACTAGAAATAAATACAGCCAGAAGGTTCAAGAAATTGTATTGTACAAGAACATGAACTAAAGGTGATTGTTGACAAATTTATCGTCTGAAACATTTTGTTTATCAACTAAGCAATGACAATTTCCGAATTTTCGTTTGAGATACATTTCTTTAAAAAAAACTGTGTCGCCAAATATAAAAAATTTGCGTGTTCACAATAATTAAACTTTAGGATTTATTCTACAATTTGAGTGGGTTAAGAAGCTTAACTTTTCGAGAGTTTTCTTAACTTTTGAGTTTGAATTTTTGTTTTGAATAATTTTGCAAAAATTTTCGAAGTCGTGTCCGTTAAAATCAACAATTTTTTACATGAATTATGTTTCATTCCATACTTTAAATGCCAGGACGCTTTCAATTAATGTCTAGTCTACCCATTTGCTATATTTTCTCGTTTGTTTTACTAATTTTTGACCAATTAATAAGCATGTTTTTGTTTTAGAAATTGATATTCAAATTCCCCGCCATATTTTCATAATTTGGTGCATGCGCAGACGTTTTTCCGCGGTGTTGGAAAACCCACAGGGAAAATCCATTTTTTGCGTCTGCGCGTGCGCAGTGCGAGTTTGGTTGACTTGCGCATGCGTATTTGCTACCAAAACAATGGCGGTTCGAATATTTCGAAGCGGGAAAACAGCGAACTTTGGAGGGATTATTTTAGCAATTGTGCACCTATTTCGCTTGGGGAGCAACGGATTCTGATAAAGTAAGTGTTTATCTGTTTATTCATGTGAAAATTATGTAGTTACACGAGGGGTGCAACGGAATTGCATCTTTTGGATGCTCACTGGCTACGGCCTACAGGCGCTATACTAACGATTTCGCATACGAGTCACTATATAAAAGGTTTACATGAAGTAGTATGAAAATGTTTTATTAGCGCCTGGGGACGAGGCAGCACTGTCCCTATCTGCTATCTGGCGTATTAAACAACAGCCAAGGGGGTGGGCTTGGCAGCAACAGCGTCCGCGAAGAAAGGAGACCCTGTTCAGCTTGATTCTAGTCTTACTCTCTGAAAAAAAAAAACAGGAGAGGTGTAGAATAAGTCGGAGGAGCAATCCGCCGGCGCCGGTGAAATACCACAAACTACTTTTATCGTTTCTTTTTACTTATTCGGTGAAGCAGAGCTGGACCTCCACGTCCACTTTTTAGCGTTAAGATCACTCTTCTGCCGGTCGATTCGAGCCGAAGACACTGTTAGGTTGGGAGTTTGGCTTGGGCGGCACGACTGCAAAATGATAACGCAGCTAGCAGGTGTCCTAAGATGTTGAGAACGGAAATCTCATGTAGAACAAAAGGGTACAAGCTCACTTGATTTTGACTTTCAGTATGGATACAAACTGTGAAAGCGTGGCCTATCAATTCCTTAAGGCTGGTTTCCACTGTTGCGTTTTTCATACGTACTTATACGCACGTAAAACTTTAAATCCGTTTAAATGTTATTTATGAAATAACCAAATAAATAAAGCAACAGAATTTAGTGTTCCGCAAGTTTTAGTATGCATTTGTTAACTTATTTGTAAAATATTTAAAAAATAGAAGGATTCAAAGTTTTACGTGCGTGTACGTGCGCACGAAAAACGCAACAGTGGAAATCAGCCTTTAGTCTTTACGAGTTTTACGCTAGGGCGGACACCGTGTCAGAAATGTTAGCACAGGGATAACTGGGCGCTTATGGCAGCCAAGCGTTCATAGCGACATTGCTCTCTTTGGCTATAATTTCTTTATCATGCAACGTATAGTGTCGTGCAATAGCTCATTTTGCTTCATTTGCAGTACTTTTCATTGAAACGGTTCACTTTTCCAACTTTGTACTAGGAAATATATAGGTAAAAACACCTGAAATTTCCTCAGAAATTTATTCAAAGCAACTAAATTTTGAGCACCTCCTCTATAATTGATAGTAGGTATGTATCAAAGTAGCCTGTATGGCAAACGAACTGACCGTCCGTCGCGCAGACGTCTAGTATCAAAGAAGCTCTGTGTTAAATTTCATGCTTTTGTCACCGTACGTCGTCACGATCATCACTGCATTGTGTAATAAGACCCGACTAAAAGTCGTATTGTCTATGACGTTGAAGGCTCACTGCGCACAGGGGCGTAGGAACCGGGGGGGGCACAGGGGCACGTGCCCCCTCCCCCCCTCCCCCAATTTTTTCAAAGGACCAAACGTGCCCTTTTTTGTGATAAAAAGTGCCCTTTTTTACAAGCTAATGTCGCTGTAAATACTAGATTAACATCAAAGGTGCCCTTTTTGTTTGGAAATTTCGATGTTTTTTAAAAAAATTTGATCAAAAACGATTTGCAATTTTGATATGGTATGAGGGGGAAATGTTTCTTCCCCCCTTCCCCCGTCACCAACATTTCCGGGAAAAATTTTTTAGGTAAAATTTTTTTCAATATCCAAAAATGCCCCTGGGAGCCGGTGGCCCCCTAATCTTTTGATGCTTCCTACGCCCCTGACTGCACGAAATGCAGTATGAATTGAGATGATGAGATTGCACGTGAGCTGAGCATGATTGACAAATGAATAAATTCACAATTGGGACAAAATAAAACAATTTTAATATATTTTTAAAATCATTATTAAAATACATTTGTTTAAACTCAATACTATACATGTACTATAATCTATATCTGTATGTATCATGTATTATCATATTTACAATTCCAGACTACATAAATTAAATGGAATGAAATTATATGTAAGTTATATACAACAACATATTCGACGGAAGCAATGGGTGTAAAAGATTAGTATGCCTATAAAGTTTGGTCACATACACTACAAATACAACCCCATCCCTAAACAAATACTCCGTCACTCATGCATCAAATCAACGTACACTCCAAGAACACTCTGGTTAAAATTTCCTGATTAATCTAGAAATAACACTATTTGGATTAACTTAATATTCCTGGTTAGATTTCCCGGATATTTTATCTCACTTCTTGGGAATCTGGTTATGTTTGATCCGAACGTCCTTGTTAAAATAATAGAGAGTTTAAGTTAAGTTCGACTTCCGATACCAATACCGATGTCACTGATGTCTTCACTTCCGTTCTCTCATTTTGGTACCGGGAATTTTAAAGCGTTAAGTCATCACGACAGATAAAGTATAGAACACATCAATCGTCACCGAAAATGTGCAGTATACTAAACGGCAGCTGAGCTAAAATTCCGACTAAAACATTACTCAGGCGATGCTAGTCAACAAATAGTTTACGTGTTTATCGTAAAAATTATGAAATATCCGATTTATATGAGTTTATATCTTACAATTCCCACGACTTCCAAAACAAGGTCAACTTCGGTAGTGGTGACTTCCAATACACTTGTCCTTGTGCTTCTTGCGAGCAGAGCGCATGCGCACGACCTGTTGTTAGTATCGGTATTGGAAGTTGATCGCGAACTTAAACTCTCTAATCACTATGCTAGGTAGATATACAACCAATTAAAGTCCCTGATTAATTACCCACATCACATAGTCTGGTTAATTTAGCTAGGACATCCTGGTCAAATTAATCAGACTATATAGCAGGAAAAAGGTTAAAATAACCAGGAAATTTAACCAGGAATAATTAAATTGGTTAACATTTTAATCAGAGTGTTTTTAGAGTGTATAATTACATATTTTCTATTAACAAATTAAACTTAAATCGTCGTGATAAGTATATTTACAAATTATTTCAATTTATATCGTGATAAAATTGAGTAACATACAATAACGTTCAATAAGTTAGTGTATAGTATAAGTTTTCTCAGCTTTGTTACAAATTGTTGCGAGCGTTCTGGTTAAAGCTTGCTCGTAAAGCTATAGCCACAGGACGCCAAGGCTCTCTAGTTTATATATATAGCTCAATTGGCACAAGTGCAAGTGATCGAAGTGCTAGAGAGTCTTTAGCCTGTGGCCAAGATCACAAAGATTGTTTTTACTGACTGCTGATTATTGCATTTATAATATATTTAACACTCTAGTCATAGACCCTTTTAATAACGATGACCTCATAACTACAGCTATTAGAATTAAAGTACGTTGGGGGTAATAACTGGGAAAACAGATACAATATAGTGTTTTAAATAAGTAAAAATATGGAAATTTTGGGCTTCAACCGTGAACCTCAACCAGATGAACTTTTAGTTTATGCTTATATAGAATTTCTTATAAAAACAAATATCTGCACTGAAAGCACAAGCAACACGTAAAGAAATGATTTAGTATTGAGCATGCATGCCAAGTTTGATCAGGAATGAATAACATTTGGCATCAGCAAGGAAAGTAATTGTCCTCCAAATTGGGGGTTTGCTCATCCTAAATGTTGTTCGTTCCTGATGAAACTTGCTTTAAATGTTTTATCTGCTTTCAATACAATTTTTTTTGCTTTTTAAGAAGATATTGGGCATGAATAAAAAGCTCCAAGACCAGCCGCGTAAATGCTGTTTATTTTTCTTCAAACCAGTATGATGTCTTGGTGTTGAAAATCAAAATTTAAAGTGGAAGTCAAGTCCGTTCTGCGCATCGGTCCTGCTCATAACAATGTGAGGACACTCTAATGTAAACATTGCCTAAATTTCGAATGTTTCGAATTTTCTGAACATAAACTCTATTTCATATTCATTTACAAGTATAGCGAACCAAAATGGTGTTAGGCCTAAATATTCAGACAGTACATCGTATTTTAAAAATACAGCAGTTCAAAATGTAAACAAACCGTTTGTTTACATTACGGACTTGACTTCCACTTTAAATATTCTATATTTCTCATAAAACACCATTCTGTTTTTCAATTGCATTCTGTTTTTCAAGGTTATTACTAAATCAGTGCTTTAATCGAGTGGCAGCTGTAGTTATGTGACGCACCATGAAAGGGGTCTATATATAGCCTATGTACAAAACGATTTTAATCATCTGGGTGTATTAAACATTTAATTAGTATTTAAAACAATTTAAAATTTGTGATGTACTATTTAAAACACAAGTAGGAGTGTTTTATCAGATATAAAACGCGAGGTGCAGCCGAGAGTTTTATATCTGATAAAACACGACAACGAGTGTTTTGAATAGCTTAAAATACGACCACAAAAGATGCCGTTCATTAGTATTCCTTACATAAGAATACTATAATTAGGATGCCACATGTGTTTACATTTAGTGAATTTTTCTGATCACACTTTCATATGAAATTTATCTACTTTCATATGGATTTTGATCTCACTTTTTTTTCTTTTTGTGCATGATCTTTTAATTTATATGAACTTTTCTGATCACACTCTTTATTATCTTATCAAACTGTATAGATGTACATCGAATTAATAATAAAGATATGCATGTAATCCACGAGTATAACCAAATAATTATTTCACTTTTTGTTTGATTAATTATTAATCGAGCACACTGCTTTAAAAGATGAAACATGAAAGTGGAAACAACATATTTAAAAATCCAAGATATGAATTACTACTATAGTGTAGTATACAAGACGTTAAAAATTTATATGATTTTATTTCTCAGTTTTTGTTTTATTTCTTAATTTGTTGGCTGCTTCTGATTTTTGGGAAGACCTGCTACAATTTTCACGAAGAGTGATAATCATTCATTTTATCCCATACTAAATTTTGATTATCTAATTAAAATATTACGAATTCGGGTAAATTGAATCATTTTCAAAGGATACTGGTCGACGGTCAATTTTTTACTTATGCATGCATGCGCATTACCTGAAATTTAAAATAGACTCTTCTAAAGGATTCCTGTGTACATATTAGAAAACAGTCGACGTTTTTGTGAGCAGGCAATAAGCTTTAAACAAAGAGGGGAAATATATGTAGTTTTATACGTTTGTAATTCCAAGCAATAACAACTATCATGCATGCACTATCGTTAATATCATGTCCTGCATGCACTATCGTTTGATTTTGCATGCGTGTCCTTATAAGCTCTCTTTTTTCCTGAGAAATACGCGCGCTCTTGTAATGTGCGTGTTACCGTGAAATGAATGTCTTCAAATTGGTGGAACCTCTTGGGTCACAATTTGAGCATGAAGAGGAATAGATGACTTCAGAATTTCTTTTTGCACTGCATTCGGATCCTCTACACCAACACGTCGTTGTCGTCTACATTCAATGTCGAAACCTTTGTAATCTTTGGGCATGGTAAGCAACACTAGAATAGGATTGACGGCGGAGCCACCGAAATATAGTATTGTAACAATCTGCCAAATTAACGGGTCCACGGTAACCTGTGAGGCACTGTAAACATCGAACAACAAGTATACACCTAATGGTGTGTAACTTATCCAGCATGATAAAATTAATACGATCAATAACATTGCAATACTGCGATTTCTTTTCGTTATTCTTTCAGAATCAGGGTCGGATCCAAGAAAGTTAGTGACTTTCATGATCACAGTTCCGTAAGAGATTGTTGCTACGAGCATCGGCGAGATAAGGATGCAAGTGATGAAAGTCAAGTGAATCTTTGCTCTTAGCGTACTAGCATAATTCGGATCGCAAAAACCAAGCTCGTTAATCTCGTAAATACTATAAAACGGACTTGTACAAACCAAGAAACTTATTAACCATATTGCTACCACCAGCAGTCTACATGTCCGCTTTGAGAACTGTCTAAGAGGATTCGTTATAACTTGCCGAACACGTAAGATGGCTAAGGTTGAGATACTGAACATAGCAGCTCCCTGAAACGTCTCACGTATTGTTAAAATATAAGAACACACGTAGTCGCTCATCGATTTAAATCCCACAAGGTACTCGACAAACATTGCAGGAAGAGTGAAAAACATGACACACCAATCAGCAATAGCCATGCTTAACACAAAGTAATTGCTGAAATGCTTGATCACTTTTCGTCTACGAATACCATTGAATATAACCATAGAATTTGCCAGAAGACCAATACCAAAGATAATACTCAAAGGAATGAGTTGATACTTTTTAAAGCGTTCACTAACCCTCTCGAATTCATCAGATGACGAGGAGTTTGATGTATTATTCGACATTTTGCTTGCAGTGTTTTCTAAAAACAAAAGTATTTCAATGTTTATGTATTATGATACAGAGGAAATAAGTAGCTGTCTTGCAATGCAAAAATCTGGCGCGTCAATAACTTTTTGGTTGTCATTTCAGTTTAGGCATTCATAAACGAATAAAAATAATAAACAGAGCATTGCATGGTCGTTCAAAGATACGGCGAATGTTCTGTTTTTATGTTATCATTTCTAGAGCGCTACTTCGACACTCTGTCATCTTTGCTCATGGCCTCCCGCCCTTGCAAATGTTATAACCGAGCATTTAATTAGTATAGGGATTAGGCCTTTCCCGATTATGCTAGTAAAACTGGCATATTATGCTCATAGCAATGCTTGTTATTTCCTAAAATTATGCTCAAATTATGCTCATTTTTCAAAATTATGCTCATTTGGTTGCAAAAAATGCTCGGCTTTAATTAGAAGAAATGGATATAACCGAAGTGCCAAGGCACAACAGCATGTACTTGGCTTATCCCTGCATGCCTCGCTAGTGCTTCCTTGCATGGCCTGTAACCACAGACTAAGTACATACATAGGCTTCTCTAATTCCGGCACCTTGGATGTCAGCGTAAGCCCTTTTTTGAAAAATACGCCATGTTCTTAACCAGTGCAGTAAAGAGAAGCCGCCTTTTCACGTAAACTGCGCATGTGCAGATACTGGCTAAGAACATGGCGGCCAAATAACACCTTAAAAATATAAGCATCTGTATATCTCTGTGCTGTAACTGTAAGTTTCTCTGTGACGCCATCGTGTTTTTTAAATTAGCCAGTGCTTCCACTTTCAGATTTGTATTTCCGTACGACCGTATCTAATTATCAGATACACAGAAATACACAGATACTAAAATGAAATTAGAAAAACATACTTTATTTTGACTCTATGGGGAAATAGAACAGGAAATATAGTTTTCCTAAGCTCACTAAAACTGCATGAACGCCAAAAAATGAAAAGTTTTGCTTTTTAACAACTAAAATGCAGACGAATTTAGCGGGAAAATGCTAAATTATGCTAGCCATTCCTTTTTGAAAAAAATGCATAAAATATGCTCGTTAAGCCAAATTATGCTGAAAATTATGCTAGCATAATCGGGAAAGGCCTAATAGGGATATGCTGTACAGGGTGTATAAAAAAAGGACTGAGACTTTTAGAAATCAACCATATTGTTAAAATTTGAATGCCTTTTCAATTGCACATATGCTGAACCGTAGTGCGTGAAATATTAATGGTGCATGATTAGAAAAATGTCTGCTCCTGGGAACAATCTGCCATGCATACTGTACGTGGATCGCATGCGCACTCGTGGGCTTAGCAAAGTGCTCCAGGATTCAAATTATAACAATGGTTGATTTCTAAAGGTCTCCTTTTTCTAATACAGGGTGTATAAAAAAACTGAACCCTTTCAAATTCAAATTAGCTATAACGTATTGTAGTAATTTGACAGCTCTAATTGCTTTGAATTAATGGTTGGGTAAGAACACAAGGTCTTGTATACTCATGGGACAAAACTCTTAAAAACTTTTAAATTTTCTAATTTTTATTTCTTTGAGTTTCGTCCATGAATACAAGACCTTGTGTTCTTACCCAACCATTAATTCAAAGCAATTAGAGCTGTCAAATTACTACAATACGTTATAGCTAATTTGAATTTGAAAGGGTTCAGTTTTTTTTTATACACACTGTACAGGGTGTATCAAAAAAAGCGCAACCTCGGAATTTTCCAAGAAATCGACATTGTTTTAAAGACAAAAGACTTTAGGCGCCTGGGAATTTAAAATAGCATAACTCTCAAAATTACTGCACACGCGAGTGCATAAAGCAAAATTTATGCATTTATTTAATGCACAACAACAGTAATGTGATCTATTAGCAATTCGATTTCAATTCCCAGGGGCCTAAAATCTTTTATGCTTAAGAATTGCAAAGTGATTTCTTAGGAAATTCCGAGGTTGCGTTTTTTTTTATACACCCTGTATATGCACTCCATCAATATTTCACGCACCACGGTTCAGCATATGTGCAATTGAAAAGGCATTCAAATTTTAACAATATGCTTGCTTTCTAAAGGTCTCCTTTTTTTTATACACCCTGTATATAGCGTTTGTCCGATTCGATAAGGATGCAACTACTTGAAAAATACAAGGAGAAATTCGACGTTCGAGCATGGCCCTTCGTCGAGAAGTTAGTTTGTCCGGTTCCCAATTCATCAACGTCGCCCAAGGGCCAAGGGTTATTTTTCGGTGAGGGAGGAAAACTGGTAGCCTGTGTCATCAACCTAACTTATTAGGGAGTTTACAATATTAATGACAACATTTTTCAAAATTTGCTTCAAAATTTTGAAAAAGCCCCAGGTTTATTTGAATATTCATCACTCATCAATACTATTTATTTACATTTTTGTTGTTGTCATGCTTGTTGTCTCGCGTGGTCTAGGCGAATAATGTTCCACCCCATGTTCCCCGGGGAACATGGAGCGGAACATTGTCAAAAGGAACGCAGGCTCGCTAATTGATGACGTAAGGCGTGATATCTCGATTAATTTCATGCGCACGTGGCACAAACTAAGCTTTCTGATTGGACAATTTGAATTTGAGGTATAATATTGCATTATGTATGTATGTATATACAATGCAATTATATAGAATGCATTTTTCATGGCGCAAGTCTGCCAGCTGAGCTGAGATCTATTTGATATACTCAACATTACAACAATGTCAATGATTATAATGCATGCACCAGTTGGTGGCATTATAAGATTGCATGCATATAGGAAATGATACACTGCAGCGATCGAGCGGAGACTTTCTGCTATAAACCTAGTCTAAAATGTGCGTATAAGTGTATAAGTATAGTTAAATCTAATTATATTACCATGCGCGTCTGCCGTCTTTCGTTGCGATGTACAGCGCCAATTCCGCATTTAAACAATTTTAATGAATCAACAAAACTTTACGCTGCGCCGCATACTTCAAAACACATGTTTTATAAACATGTGTTTCGAAGTATGCGGCGCAGGCTATACAAAACTTTTGATATACAAATTCCTTTCAACTGTCTACTTTCCAGCGGTGTACGGGCACGCTTGAAATGCAAAGAATGTTACAATGCCATTGAAGGCCAAGGGCAGCAGAATTAATTGTGCAATGTCTGAACATCACAGGAATTTGCCAGGAAAAGTAGGACGACACTATATATAAAATACAGTCAGTGATTTTTTTTTTAATTCATTCCCAAAATTGAGCACATTATGAGTATATACTCGCCAAAAAGAATAATAGTTTACATTTATATATATATATATACTTTCTATGATGAATGAATAAATGTTTATCCAACAATTATGTTTTTCACTCGTTCTTTTAGCCACAACAAAACTATGTAATCAACTTTAACCAAATAATATTTGATAGGCAATTTTATGCAAATTTTTAACATTGTCAAATATGCTTATTCGATTTAAAACATCGACAGCTCAGTGAATATTGCACGGATATTCAAATGTTATATATCAAAATCTAAGTTAGCCCTTTCTGAATACAATATAACTTATTTGAGTGCAATAGCTTTTATAGTTTTTATGTTACATTAAAGCCCCGTTTACACTACACTCAATTTTTGGTACGGCACGGATAAAATTGGTACCCGTACCACTTTAAAGCTTTTTTTGTTCTTGGACTACCTATTTAGGTAGTCCAAGAACCAGAAAGTACTACGCTCAATTTTTGGTACGGCACGGATAAAATTGGTACCCGTACCACTTTTTTGGTTCTTGGACTACCTATTTAGGTAGTCCAAGAACCAAAAAGTGGTACGGTACCAAAAATTGAGCGTAGTGTAAACGGGGCTTAGCTAAATAGGTAATCCAAGAACCAAAAAAGTGGTACGGGTACCAATTGTATCCGTGCCGTACCAAAAATTGAGCGTAGTGTAAACGGGGCTTAAATCAAACAGCGCAAGTTTTTTGGGGGACACCCGGTTATATTATTATATATATATTTATATATTTATATAATATAATTTTTCATTTACGAAACACAAACAGTGCTCAATATACCATATAGATAGAGCGTAATATAGTTTTTCGTTTTACCTCAAAAAACCACAACAGTATGTTTCATCCGTACAGGAATCATCAGGTGATTATATATATATATATATATATATAATAAAACTCATGATAGATGTTTGTCAAAAATAACTCCAAGAACTGATTTTGTCGTCAAGTGCCGGGCATATCTAATTTTGAATTATCCATCGATAAGAGATCCAGTTCATGTTTGTTAGAGACGAGCAAATTAGGATCGATTCAGAGTATCGCATTATTTAAATTATGTGCATGTATTTTGCACCAAAATACACGTGTCCTTATATATATATCTAACAAATAGTAAATTAGAAAAGTATATATACGCTCTTATTCTTGAAAATGAAACCTCTTTAATATTGACCAAAAGACAAAGGATTGCTGACGCGTACGTTTAAATTAATAAATATCGAGAAAAAATTGTCAATAACAAATAATGCAGGATGTAATAAAAATAGAACTCACAAGGGATAAACTTCCCAAGAAAAATCGGCATGCATGTCTTTAGGTAAACGAATTGGTGAAATAAAACTCTTAATTACCTTTATCTATTAGTATTAATTACTCCTAAAATAAATTCAAGGGTCATTAAAAATTCTATTCATTGCACTTCTCAAGTGTATCCTGTGGCTGTAAAAACAGATTGGTACATCCAAAAAGATAAAAAGATTCAAACGAATTTTGTATTTTCGCAGATTATACTGTAAAATAGCCTGCGTAGCGGCTCAAAGAGTAAAACATATAGTGATATAGTCGAGAATATTTTAAATTACATACATACAATACATGCGAATAATGAAAGAGACTATTTTTACACCGGCGTCTGAAAGATAATAATGTTGAGAAATTCTTGTGTGAAATACGATCTAAGTTCTCAGCCAAAAGCAA